ATTGGTTCAAACACTATACTATTTAATATGAAATGATTTGTTTTCCACTATTTCGTAAAAAAGTTCAGTTGAGTAGCTGGTAAGTGATCCATGAGGTGTCACCTAGTGAAAAGGGTTCATGTTGATCTATTTATCTCTTCAGGCTTCAGCTGACTTTCTACCTCCTCCATGAGGCTTCCTGGGTTAAGGGTGAGAGAACAACCATGCTCTTCCTACGTGGGATCCCTAGAACCAGGGAGCCCCCTCCTCTTTGAATTCTCATAGAAACTGTTCTCTTTCTCCTGTTTTTTTACACATCACCACTGGGTCAGCTTCAGGGCACATGTGACCTGGGCAGTTGCACAGGCCCTGTACTTAGCCTGGGATTTAGTGTTTTGCTGTCACTGCTTTAATAATTTTTTTAGACAAGGGACCTCACATTTTCATTTTATACTGGGTCCCACAAATTACATAGCCAGTCCTGCATACTCATATATATTCATGTGAACTAATAGCTACATTGTAATTTGATTGTAAAACATGTACTCCAAATATGAATAGATACTCCTGACTTACTATTAAATATGGAAGCTCACTGACTATTTTAAAGTTTTTTGGTCCCCTTACTATACCTCTTTTCATGAAGAAATGCTTGGTAAAGATAAGAGACAAAGGATGACTAAATTTCATCACTTTCTGTCAGAGCAATGAGACATTGATAAGAAAAATCAATGAAAACGCCTCTATACAGACATTAAATCAATAGTCATGGAAATTAGCAGTGATACCTGGGCCAAGGGACTGACACTTAATAGCAATTAGATTGTAGCTGCAGATCTTTATTTATGGATATGAAAAACTTAAATAAAACTGTAAATTTAACTAACATCACTGACAATGCATCATTTAGGGATCCTTCCTTTTGAGGGTTCCTGTAAATATCAGTTAAAGTCCTTATAATAGGTTGCATTGTATATACCCCAAAAGGTATGTTCAGCTCTTAACCCCTGGTCACTGTGAGTGTGACCTTATTTGGAAATAGGGTCTTTGAAGTTATCATTATGATGAGATCATATTGAATTAGGGTGGACCCAATGACTGGTAATCTTATAAGAAGACAGACATACAAAGAAACACAGAGAAGTTGACATAAAAATGGAGATTGGAATGATGTGTCTGTAAGCCAAAGAATTCCCAGGATTATTAGCAACCACTAGAAACCAGGAGAGAGGCATAGGACAATTCTCTTACAGAGCCTCCAGAAGGAACCAACCCTGTCCATACCTTGATTTCCAACTTCTGACCTTCAAAACTCTGAGTGAGTACATTTTTGGTTGTTTTAAGCCACCAAGTTTGTGGTCATCTATTATGACAATCTTAGGAAACTGCTAGAGTCCTCATAAAGTACTTTTTAAAAGCTAGGGAAAACGTGTGAGATCTAAATCTAAATAATCTAAATCACTCATTTACTTTTTAAGCAAATAAGGAACATAAGCCAGAATTGACTACATGACAAAATACAAAGAAATAACATTAATCACCAGGCTTTATTTCATTTTCTATTACATCTGATTAATGAGAGAAGAAGAAAGATGGTAGAAAAAAGAAAGGAGCATAAAGAAGAGTAGAAAATAATACAGAGACAAGAGATGCTAAAGGCAAAGATACAAGAGAAGTGAGAGACACAAAAAGATAATAAAATAATAACAGAAGCTAACGTCAAATGAATGCTCGCTAGGTGCCAGAGACTATGATAAGTGATTTACATGTATTCTTTAAACCTCACAACACTCACATTTCATAGATGAGAAAATTGAGGAATTGAGGAAATCGAAAACTCTCTGCCAAAGGTCAAGTACAAAGATCACAGTACCATACTAGCGTCAGTGACCTCCTCACTGTGATGAGTGTGGGAAGAAGCACAGTAATCCAGACTGCTGGGGCTCTGGATCTGACTGGCTTGAAGATTTTTAGAGCTCAGTCATAAGATGATATCAGGGCAAACCATTCAAAAGAGAGCTATTCCATCCACAGCAGAGTGCCTCGTTAAGTCGACTAGATAAACAGAGGCAGATATACAATGAGCTAAATAATGGAGTGGTTTTTTCTCTTGATAAACAGTGTTCATTTTAGTCTGTTAATTTTACCATTCCTTCAACAAATACCTCTCCATGCCTAGTAGATGCAAGTAACCCACAAAGATTCAGGCTTTAAATTAGCAAAATGAATAAATAAAAATACATTGGCGCACAGTGTTGAAAAGTACATAATTATTGCATGAAATGAGGTGCAACTGTCATTTGGTTCCCAGGGTTTTTGTTTTCAGAGCTGAATTTTGCTTTTCCTAGATGGGCTTTATTTGAGAAGCCAAGGACAGTAGATATGCACTCAGGAGCAGGGACTGGAAGTTTTCTAAGAGAACGGGACACAAGTTCCCAACTTACAGAGTGTTGGGAGTTTCCGTTCATCTCTCTTAACGAAATTCTTAGGTAGAACAAAGGAGAAGGCTTTTTTACTTGGATAAATAGTCCTGATAGGGCAAAAAATCTTGTTTTGGGTAGGTGCCAAGCTCTACTGACAGATTCGAATCTCAGGTAGGTCGCCTTTGGGCAGGAGGGCAGGCTAGCAAGGCCTCTTCGCTGATTAGCATGAAAATATGATTATTTGTTTTACTGAATTCTTACTGTATGCCATGCACACAATATCTTCAAATAATAACCCACATTGCAAAGCTTCAGAATAAAGCCTAGTGGAAGTCAATATAAATAAAAAGCTAACATAAAATTAAGGTATAAAACCCAGATTCTAAGCAGATGGCAAGGGTCTTTGAAAAGAGTTTTCTTTCATTAGTTACTTCAGTGGCCTGTTACTAAAAACTCGCTGCTACATTCATGAACCTGCTTTTAGAATGGTCTTCAAAAGACCATGCAATGCTTCCACTTAGAGTTGGTTGGGGGTGAGGAGTGGAAAGATTGAGAATGGAAGGGACAAGGAAGGACAGAGGAGACGTCTTCTCTGGCCCCAGCTATTCATTCTCAAGGACAGTGGCACCAATAGTACCATTGAAAGCCACAATCAAGTGTCATAGCTACTCCAGGGTCTGCTAAATTTCAAAGATGGCTATTTAAAATATGGAAGAGAAACGCTCCTGTCTGGCTTGTGTATGCCTCTCAAGCAACTTGTCTATTCTCTGCTTTTTCTTCTCTCAAGAGCTGTACATTGAAAGAGCTCACACTGAATAGATATTGAGTTTTTAAGCAAATATTTAAAAAGTTGCTGGTGTTTTCAGTGATAAGTATTTAATATGTTGTGTTAGCAACAGTACTACTGAAGAAAGAAGATTGAACTTTTTCTTTTAAAATGTCTTAAGATTAATTTTCCATTCAGAGATGTAGGATTAAAAAGCCTGAAACTAGTTTTGAAAGTATGCTTGTGTGATTTTAACACAAGCTCAGACACAGTATACACAGGGAAAAGCTCTTCCATGTGAACATATTATGGTAGGGCCCAATTCCAATTTCTTAAAGTCAAAATAATTAGAATTTTCAAGAGGAAGGAAAAGAATTTACAAGTCCAAGAAGATCCATCCTCTCATTACTAGGAGTAAATCTACAGGATGCAGAAAATCAAGGATTTCTGCCAAAAGTAAGAAAAACATTCTTTTAAGGCAAAAAAAAAAAAAAAAAGGATAAAAATACAAAGCAAAGTTTAAAAAATGAAATCTTTTCATGCTCCAAATTAGACCTGTCACTATTCAGCGATGGGAGAAATATCTAAAACTTTGGCACAGAAGAGGACCTATATAAAGCAATTTTTCACCTCAATGCTAAATCTGTAGGTCCGTATAATTCCATTCCTCAGTTCAGTTATACCATGCAAAAGCCTGGGCTGCTTGCTTTCTAAAAACAGATGCAGGGAAACAGACCAAACTAACACGAATGTATATTTAATAGGCAAACATCTGTCCTTAGGAAGGATTGGAAAGCAACAGAATAAAACCAGCTTTTCTTGTCACAAGGTTTATCCAGTTTCAAGAGTCATTTGGGTTACTGGCCCTAAAGGAAACAAGAGTTTTTTTTTAAAAAGGAGGCAATTCACATTTGGCTTCTTCTGTCTATTTTTTTCTCCCTGGATCCTTCATCTCTACTCTCCCCAACTTACAAATTGTCAGCCCGTTTTCTGGGATAAAAATCTCTAACTCTATTTTGTCTCTCCTCCCCTCAATGGCATCTCAGGCTAGGCCATTTGGCATCTGAATCCCTTCTCAGCCATTCTTGGAGAACAACATTAGGGCAAAGGAAACAGGCCATAATTTTCTGATGGCAGGTCCTTTCCACAAGTGCTCGTCTAAAATAAAGAGAGGTCTTTCCAGTTTACAAATACACATGGGAAAATCCACTTAAACTCCCACCAGGTTTCCAGATCTTTTTGTTTGGTCTGGTGAATAGGATAAGGGCTGTGACCAAGTGTTGCCTCCCCCCACCCTCCCCACCCCAGCACAAACAAAAGCTACTGGATGGTAACTCCTGTCATCATTTGCTTTCACAGCTGTCTAGGCATAAATGGAGGAGTTAGCTATCACTGAAAACAAAAGACAAAACACAAAATGTGGAAGGAGCAACTGTTTCTATTCACTTGGAGACAGCAATATTCTTTACTGCTACTCTGAGTGGAAAAGTACTACTTGATTTTGACCAGAACATCTCTGGATGCAACGGATTGGGCATGCGCTGTTTTTCTTTCCTTGGACATGGAGATATGAAAAGGAAATGTGTCCCCTTCTCCAGAACCAAGTCCACATACAGAGAGGTGTTTCTAGGCATAAGCCCTAAGTGGACTGTTTTCTGAGGTCTCCAGTTGGAGTTGATACAAAACAACAGTGTGAAGCTTATAGCTAAATGGAGAAAGCACAGGAATTTGCTGTTTCGTGACTTTACAACCAGAGACCAGATGGACATCATAAAATTGTACCTCCCCACCTGCCCTTTATAACAGAGGAAAGCATGCTGAAGTTTGCTTACCTTAAAGTTGTGTGTCTTCTCATAGTTGAAGTGGTTGTCGTTGTGTGTGAGGGCTGCCCTTCGAACCAGGGAGGAGATCTGTGAACAGGCAAAGAGCTTGAGAGGGGGCCAGAGAAAGCTGCCTTTGACTCCTACCTTCACCCCCAAAGCAACGGCCAGTAGCTCTTGGCGCTTCCTGCCCTGCTTAGACTTCCGAACCACAGCACACTTTTTCTCATTTTCCAGCCACAGTTCCTCGGAGAACATAGTGCCTGGATCCCAGATCTTTCTAGTTTCCTCCGCAGTGCCTGGGAAGCTCCGCGCTGTCAGGTTTTTCGATCCGCGGCTAATGTCAGGCAGCAGATTTGAGGCAGCTGTGTCCTGTCTGCAGAGGCCTCTGGCATGTGACCTGGAAGGCCCAGTTTGAGTGATGGAGGGGGCTCTGCTTCTGAATAAGGACAGGCCTGTTTTGTGCTATTTCTTAAGGCCGACCGACGTGTGCCTGGAACAATAGCACACATTCATGTGCACAGCAATCCCCCGAAGCGGTACTCAGTCAGCCAAGGAGGATTTGGGGAGGCAGGGGCAGGCAGCTTGATTTCTCCTGCTGCAGCACATTGTAAAGGAGAGACCTCTCCTACTTACTAGCACATTTCACACACACACACACACACACACACACACACGTGCGCGCATCCCCCCCACACCCACAGCTAGCTCTGATGTTCAAAGTCTGAGGCTGCATCCACTTATTCTGGGGCTCTGAACCCCATCCTGGGCTGAACTCCAGCAGATTAAACTTTTAAACCCTGATGATTGTTTAATCTTATGGGTTAAAGCCTGCATCTCTTTTTAAAAATCTGCCCTAGCCCTTGAAAGCTTAATTTTTATCCTTATGCATACACTAAATTGGAACAGTCTGAGCACCCAATGGAATATCAAAGAAGAGCAAAAGCTTTTCAGCTCTGAGCTCTACAATCAAAGTTGCAAAATAAGAGGCAGGATGTCTTGCCTCAGGATAACCCCCAGTCTCTCCTCTCTTTCCTGTGCAAACAACCTCTGCTCAAACCCACACAGGCAAGACAATATTATCTACCTAAAACCAAAACATCATAGTTTTCTTTTAAACAAAACATCTTCAAAGCTTGTTCTGTTAGTGTCCAAGCCTATTAAAATGCTCTCCTTGCTCTTAAGAGTGTCATCTGTTTAATGGCCTCCAGGAGGACCATAGTTTTTTGGTCTGAGGTTCACCCATCAACAGAAGTGGGCAGATGACGTCTTGGGAGTACTCTTAATCCATTGGTTAGTGAAGTCTAACGCAGCTAATACCAGACACTAAAATCAATGCTTTAAGAATGAGAAAACAAGAATAGATAACTGGGCCTTTACATAGGTGGGCAGTGTACGAATTTTATGCTGTCTCTACTGAGACAGGGCCCCATGCTTCAGCCCCTCTAAGCCGTCTTGTGGAGAATAACCAAAGATCAATCCGTTCCTTGAGTAATTCTTTATTCCTGGAGATCGCCATCATTTCAACTTGGGTCAAAAGTCCATCCTCCCATTTCATTCTCTTGTTATCTTCAAAAATAACAACTAATTTTTATATTGAGCGACTGAGCACAATAACTCATATTGTGCCAGACGATGCCAGCATGTGCTAAGTGCACTTATTTAGCCTTCAGCACTTGGGTAAAAGAAGCAAGATTTTTATGCCTGTATTTTCAGATAAAAGAGATTGAGACACAGAGAAGTAAAGTAATTCGCCTAAGCTAGTTTAAGTGGCAGAGCCAAGACTAGAACAAAAAGCTTCCATGTCCAGTGCTTGTGCTCCTAAACACTGTGTCGTGCTGCCACATCCTGCCATCAGGTCCCACCAAGGGATATGTCTGAAATATTGGCCGAGTCTGTCTTCTCCTTATCATTCTTGCCCTACAATAACTCAGACCCTCGCTGTTTCTCTAGTCCACCTTACACACAGCGCACCACAATCTTCCTAATACAGGCGCCACTTGCTCAGAATTGGCAGTGCTCAGAATTGGCAGTGCTTCTCCATGGCTTAACCACGTCCTAACATTGCCAGTTTTTCATGAGCTGGTCCCCATGTATCCAGCGTATCTTACTTCCCTCCACAAATCCAACAAAATCTCTTTCCTGCCATACTCAACTTCTCACTTTGGTAGTTTGCTCTGTTCAGAATATTTTAACATCATTTCAACTATCTACATTTCCACCAACATTTTACATTTCAACTCAAATGCCGCCATCTCCAGAAAACTCCAACCCCCGCCCCATCGCCCCCCACTGGAGGCAAACTCTCTCTTCTGAAACCATGTAGTGTTTTATCCACATTTTTCTAATTGCACGTATAACTGGCTATCTTACACTAGAGTGCTTGATAACAATTCTTTTTCTGCTGTCAAATTGAGAACTCATTGTGCTCTATGACTAATTTGCCTTTATTTCCCCCTATGAGTGTCTAATAAAATTCTTTGCCACAACAGACACTGAATAAATATATGTTTCTAGAAAGTACGTATACATATAAGAAGCCAGTGTTGTGGGCAAATGTGCAAAGGTGACTGTATGGTATGGAGTCTCCTGCCCCCCTCATGACCATTCATCCACTGCCTCAGCTTCCAAGGACAAGGTTCCTTCCAGGGATCTGCCCTCTTGATGGTCTCTACCACACTCCCTAGCCTGTCCTCCTTCCTACTGTCCCATTTTAAAGGGCATTTGTCACTGACAGGGGTGAGATGAGGGCTTGGCATACCTTTGAAAGGTTTCCAATACTTCATCTAAAGGTAAAATGATGGAGAGGAAGACAAAGTGTCCTTTCCCAAATCTTCACTGTTAGCAGAGCAAGAGACACGTTTTGATGAGGAGCTATTTTGTATAAGAACAAATTCTGTGATCTGGACTAGACTATTTATATGAATATACAGTTTCAGAATTTGATAAAATAACTCCTTAAATGGAAAATGGACAGACAAGTGTCCCTTCTTCTGGGACTTATGGGTGGCTGAGATTTAATATTTTCTCTTGTGTCTGTACCTTTACTTATAACAAGCAATTTTTATTTCTATTTGTGACAATGATTTCTTTTTCAGATATTTATTTAATAGCATTTACCCAAACACAAGAAGCATTCAGGCATATGAAGGAACCACACACTATCCCTTGGGTTGATTCTTTACAGGGGACCGTGTTAGTCTTTGAGTGAGCATTATTGTGAGCAGTGTGGGTGACCTGAGGTCACCCTCTTATTAAAGGGAAAATGATTACAAAAATCCCTTGGCAAAAACTTCCCTCTTAAATAACCCAATCACACAGAACTCTTCTTTATCTGACCTCCTCAAGGACAGCTCCTTGGTTTCTTTTGTTTCTTTTATAACCTCCACGGCATCTAATACAGTATTCTCCATACACAGTGGACATTTAATATTTTGCTGATTGTCTTCTTCTAACAATAATTTCTATTTGACCTACTCTTACCTACACATTCATAAGATGAAGTGCCTTCTCCTACATACTCTGTCCAAACCAGGCATTCTCACTGGAATTACTGACATTTGGGGCTGGATAATCCTTTGTTGTGGGGCTGTCCTGTGTATTGTAGGATATTGGCATTATTTGTCTCTATTCATTGGATGCCAGTAGAAACTGCCCCCCCTACCATTATGTTAATCACAAAAGTCTCTAGACATTGACAGATATTCCCTGGGAGACAAAATTGTCCCCCATTGATAATACTTGTGTTAACATCAATAAGGCAAATATTGCGTAGCATGCTTATTACCTGCCAAGTATTATACCAAGCACTTTGCACATTTTTACTCATTAAGATTTAAAACCCTGTGAGGTAGGTACTAAGTTATTGTTACCCTTATTTTACAGATGAGGAAATGGGCAGTGAGAGTTTAAGTGACTTGCCCAATGCCACACAACTGGTAAGTGGTAGAATATAGGCACAGTTAATGAGGTCTAGTCTCCCCAGCCCCCCAAAACAAGTTCTTTTATTTTCATTGTTGTAGTGAAATACACATAACATAAAATTTGCTGTTTAACCATTTTAAGGTGTATAATCCAGCAGTATGTAGTGTATTCACAATATTCTGCAATTATCATCACCACCCCAAAATGAAACCCTATACCCGTCAGCACTCAATCTTGATTTCCTTCTCTCTCCCAGCTTCTGACAACCACGAATCTTCTTTCTATCTCTATGAATATGCCTATTTTGAATATTGCATATAAAGGGAATCATACAATATTTGACTTTATGGGTCTGGCTTCTTTTTTGAGGTATTTCTAGTTTTCAAATTATATATAAAGCTTCTTTCACTTAGCATAATGTTTCAAGGTTCACTTATGTTGTAGCATGTATCAGCACTTTTTAAATTGCTGAATAATAATCCATTGTATGGATATACCACATTTCATTCATTCATTCATCAGCGTCTAGATTGCTTTTACCTTTTGGCTACTGCTAGTGCTACTAAGAACATTCCTGTACAAATTTTATTTGAATACCTGTTTCCAATTCTTTGGGGTATACACAAAATCTATGCTTTTAAACACAATCTAAACTTCCTCTTATCCCCTTAATACTTACATTAAAAAGTATCCAGCAGTGGAATACTGGAATTACTCTCTTCCCCATTGTAAGCCTGTTAAAAACTAGCAGGACTGGAGTTCCCTGGACTGGTTTCTAAAAAGGAGACTTTTGTTCTCCCTGGGCCCTCTGTGAAACCAGGCACTACTTAAGATACTTTGGAAGTAGGTGGGGCTATAAATAAGTGGTGACATAAGCTCACCATTTCCCTTTTCTTTCTTTCTTTCTTTTTTTTAATATAAATAAGAGTTGGGATTCTATTTTGCAAAGCCTTTCACTGTTCTTTCTCTCTATGACTAGGATCCTGGACCTGAGAAGAAATCAGGTAATAGGAAGGCAATGAAATGTTGTAGATAAAGATGAGAAAGGGATGGGTCATAGGCAGGAAGAGATGGGAAAACAAAGCCCTTTGGGGTATCTGTACACACATAAAGTGCCTAGGAGAAAGGAGAAAGAGGAGCTCCCTTACACACTGGCTTGAATAACCTAGCCCCATAATCCCAGAAGGAACCTTAGAAATTTATCTTATCCACTGCTCCGCCTCCACCTGGCTTCAGAGAGGACCACCTTTCAGTCTCCAGAGACCATAACTGTCTGCCTTATTAGTACCAATTTCTAGGCAGGGTGATTTATCATCGATGCATAATCCATTCATAGACTTCAAGTAAATTCCAGTGCTACATTTTCAGGAGGGCTTGTTGAAAGTGTCTCCATCAGTTTCTGGACAGTGTCTCTCACGATTCCAACTCCACTGTCTGTGTTGCTGAACCCTTCATACTACTCTGTTTCTTGAGGCTGAGCCTCCCTTACACATTGACCGTCTGAGCTATACCCCTACTACATATACCATCTTGCTGGAGCACACTTCTGCTGCTTCATGGCAGTGCGTGAAATGAAAATCAGTGTTTCTAGTGACAATGAGAATTCTCTAATATCTGGTGTTTGTGTGAACTGGCTTGTGTCTTGGGGAAAAAAAAATTGGTGATGTGTCAAAAACCTTGAAAAAGTTTATGGGAATTGATTCAATGATTCTAGTTCTAGAATTTTCTTTAAAAGGT